AAACAATCTAACCGCTCATCAAATGTATCTCATTCTGAACAGTATACAGACATTGAATATCATGAAGTTAATTACTTTTATTATATTTCAAATGAAAACTATTTTTCATAAGATTTGGAGCTTTCATATAGTTTGGAGCTTTTCATATTGTTTGGAGCTTTCTATGTGCTCAATTATTTTCCCAATATTTTAAGCAAAATTTTGATATATAAACTAAAGATAATACATGCATATTAACAGTGAATCTTTAGAAGTTTATAATCCCTGAATTCTGGGCATGTTAGTGGGGGTCTATGAGAACTGAATTCAAAAACACATGGATAATTATTATTTTCACTGGGAATAAATCATGAAGTGAGTCATCAACATCTCCTCTCCCCTTTGTCATAAGCTTGTGGTAGTTCTTTGCATTTTTTAAAACGATTCATGAAATTGAACTATGGCAAGTTTGCTCTCATATGGTGCTTTATCTCTGGAAGATGCACACAAAAAACTACTAATCGGTACCACTGCAAGTAAAGATGTAGGAAGCCAGCAATATTCAATATAAAGAAATAATTCATAACCTGACTCACCATTGTTTGATTTCTGATAAAAAACAGCTAAAAGGATCAAACTAATAATTTGGCTATAAAAAGTTTAAATAAATGCTTACCTAACTGTCCTCCTATGACTGTGTACACAGTGGACTCATTGCCAATCTTGTCAGCAATCTTGCACATCTTTTATAATCTATTGAAAATGACAGAAGCAAATTGTTAGTTTTGATTAGTAACAGGTGGCTAAATCCTGAAGAGAACCTTTGTTTAATTTCAATTTCAATTTCAGAATAGAAAAGTTTTTTTTTTTAAATACATAAAGTACAAAGGTGTTCATGACTAGGAAGTACTCGTCAGAATTCTGGTTTTCTGAATTGGCCATCGTCTGGCAGAAATAAAATTTGCAGAGAACTCAGAATTATTTTATGGGGCACTTAGGGCAAAGCTGGTGCTCCTCTCTCCCTTGCTTCAGAAACAATACATTGCTTTTCCTCCTCTACTTTGCCTATTCCCAAATGCAAAATATTCCACTGGTCGATCAGCCCTGCTGGTTTTCCTAGTGTCTTCCTTTTCCTCGGCTGCTGTGATGCCCCAGCATGGCATATCTCACTGGCCTGCTCACCTTCAATCTTCCCTTCCCTTCCCTTCCCTTCCCTTCCCTTCCCTTCCCTTCCCTTCCCTTCCCTTCCC